AGCCCCACTCAGTCTGCAAGCCTGAAGATTCTTGATGGGCGCGGACCCCAAACTCTCAAATCTCTCGGGGCTCCCCGCGCGCCCTCTGGGGCCACCGTAATGTTCCCGCATGACTTTTTCGAGCCCAAGAGAAGCCCAAGAGGGGTCAACAGGGCGCCAAGAGGCCCTCAAGACGGCCCAATAAAACACCGAATCACCGAACGATCGGTCCAAGACGCCCAAGATGGCCCCATGGCCATTACCATGATAAACATCATCAAAACCATCATCATAATCATAATCATAATCGCAATCATAATCATAATCATAATCATCATCATCATCATCATCATCAGCATCAGCATCAGCATCAGCATCAGCATCAGCACCAGCACCAGCATCAGCATCAGCATCAACATCAACATCAACATCAACATCAGCATCAGCATCAGCATCAACATCAACATCAACATCATCATCATCATCATCATCATCATCATCATCATCATCATCATCATCATTATCCGGAGCGCCTCGGATCGGCGGCACTGGCCAGAGGCCAGCATTATATCCAACGTAGCTGCGCAACCGATAGAAGCTTGTATCCGTTGGGAAGACGGCTGAACGCAGTGTCGATCACGATGCAAATATGAAGCGTAAACGCGTACTTGCGCAAGTCTCTGGCCAGTGAGATTACGACGCTCTTGCGAAAACGAAGACGGCAACGCTGTTCTAACACACGCTTGATGGCTGGGCTACGCCTTTATGATTGAGTGACTGTACGGGCACCCTCTTCCTCAACTCCTCCGATGACTCGCGCCCGAGAAATTGACCATGCGTCCCTGCCCTCCGGCCAGCCGCGCCCGTAGAATACGACGGGCGACGCAAGGGGAGAGCGGAGGTGGGAATGTGTCCCTCTTCTTCCTTCCTCCCCCCCTGTTGTCTGTCTGTTTTGTGTATGTTCCGCCAGCCAGCGACTCCTTGAGAAATGCTCCAGGACTCGCCTGGCTCTAGTTTGATCACCCCCCTCAGGACCGACTGGCCCTGGGGGGGTAAGGCTGCGTTCGACGGACACTACAGCCATCAGGAATCAGGTAGGAATGCAGCGGCACTGGTTTGGCCAAACCGTCGCCGATGCATCAACGATGCGCCGCGCCTATACGCACGCTGCTGTAAAGTCCCGGACCTCTAGCGCCGTGCGGCTCTCGACCCAATCCCTGAGACCAACTTTGCAGAGGGCTGTTTTCTGATCCCCCCCGAGCCCGAAAACAACCCCCAGACGCCGAAGTTTCCGAGAAACGCCTGTTATGTTTTCCTCGACGCCTCAGACCTGGGGCAGTGGCTCCAAACTGCCGCCTTTCTGCTCCTCGGGTCAATACGAATACTGCGAGCGGGACCCCTCTTCTCCCGCATTCCTGCTTGGCGTACATGATTCCAGGACATGGTAACCCATGCTTGTTTACATCCCCAGGACGAAAGTTTTTTCCTCTTAGGCCGGGAACGACGGCTTGAAGTCTTCAGCAGACGCGCATGAGAGAACCACCGTCGGATCCCGTGAAGTTCGCGCGGGTCCACTTGTGGATTTGGCGTTTGCTTTGGTGGATCCGATTTCCGTCCGCGCGGATCCGATTTCGGATTTGCTGGATCCGTGTTCGGTCTTATTTTTTACGGCGGATCCGATTTCTACCCCGTTTTAACTTTATATTACTAATTCAGAACGGGGAAGCGGAAGAAATCGGATCCGCGGACTCCGGAACCCGCCCGTGTTAAGATTCTGCGGGGGAAGGGGTTGGGGTTTCGGTCATGAACTTCCAACTCATCATCGCATCATCGCATGTTGCACCTCACGAGGAAAATCTTTCGTCCTGCGTAAGTTATGCAAACGTTAGTTTGGTGTTTTGTTTGTGAATTGTTGTTTTGCTCGTGCTTTGACACGTCTGTTTGCGCTTCCCCTCTCAGCATGTGCTCCCGCTGCCACTTTGGAGAGGCGCTTAGCTCCCGTCGTTCAAATAGCGCTCGCCGAAGCGGGGCAACACTGTTGAACCCGAATTCTTCTTCGTCGTTGTCGGCCCCGCTTTCTCCTCCTCCGCCTTGCCCCTGGTATTCCTGCTCCTCCCGCTCCTCCTGCTCCCGGTCCTGCTGCTGCTCCTCCTCCTCCTCCTCCTCGATCCTCGATCCTCGACCTTCGATCCTCCATCCTCGATCCTCGATCCTCGATCCTCCTCCTCCTGCTCACCCGGCACCTCATCCTTCTTCCTCTTCTCCTCCTTCTCCTCCTCCTCCTCCTCCTCCTTCTCCTCCCTCTCCTCCAATGTGCACAACTCTCGTTTTTGCTTGCGCATAACACGGTAGGGATCATTTCGTGGGTTCGAGGCCCGCTATGACACCTGTCGGCGGATAAAGAAAAGTCTGCGCAACGGGAAGGGCTGGGTAGGGAGGGTAAGATGACAGATATGGTGCGAGCGCACCTGGCTTGAGTTTCCTCCTCTTCCTCCCCCTTCTCTTCCCCTCCCCCTTCTTCGCCCTCTTCTCTTCTTTCGCGTCTTCCTCTTCCTCGCTCCCCTTCTCGTCATCCTCATCCCTCCCGTCCTCGCCGCCGTCATCGCCGTCGTCGTGGTCGTCTTCCTCGTCCTCTTCCTCCTTGCCCGTGACCCCCTTCTCCCTCCCGCCTCCCCTCGTCTGCCCCTCCCACCAGAACCGCCCGGGGCCCCCGCAGACTCCCCGCACGGCTTTCCAAAACCTCCTGCGGGAACCGCCCCTCCCTCCTCTAGACGAGCGCGTTCCACTACTCGCAAAATCACTACTCGCAAATGGCTTGGATCCGCCGCGAGGGATCTACGACAAATTATATCAAAGCAGACATGTTTTTTTTTCGGACCTTTGCAGGTAGGCACTTTGCGAGTAGTGGAACGCGCTCGCTGATCCTCCTGGCATGAAGGACAATATCCCGACGGGCACGCGCGTCCCGGACCCTACAGAGGGGTCTCGTCCGGGACTGGTTCCTCCATCCCGAACCGCCTTCGACGGCTTGTGGGACGAGGGGGTGCTCAGGGAAGCAGACAACCGCGAGGAACCTCAAGACCCATGCCATCGATACCACTGTTCTTCGTGGCGACCAGCATCGGCTCCTATACCTCTCTCGGACGTCGTCGGACTGGCACTTCGATGAGAGCCCCACCGTAGCGACGAGAACACCCCGAGCGTCTGGTTCCCAAAGATCGACCCCGTGGATCCTGGACGACGGAAAAAAACCCCAGACAGACAAAAAAAACCGGAAACGGATGGCAGAAACAAGCCCGGGGTGCATTCTGGACAACATGTCGTGGGGATTCCAGCCGTGGCGACGAGAAGCCTCCCAGATGTTGAACATGCATGCGAACGTCCAGAAATCAGGCATATGCTACCATGGAGTACGGGTCCGTGGATCTGGCGCGTGGGCGCTAGATCCACGTCTAAAGGTGACGTGCTGAGCGGCAGCGTTTTCCACGAAGGCCGTAATGCAACACATCCCGTGGCTACTCATGCATATACTTGCATCTACCACTACTCGTATGGTTCTCGTATTCTCGTGTGCCCACCCTAATTCCCCACTGGGGCCACACCCCATCCACGGACCAAAGGTGGTGGACCCCTTCTGGGACTCAAGAGCGTATACAAACCGACGGGAAATCGATGTTTTCGGCTCCTTGCAATGTCGAGACGGCCCAATATGGCTCCAAGACGGCCAAGCATTACCCCAAAACGGCCCCAGAAGACCCCAAGACGGGCCCAAGAGGTCCTCAATACGGCCGAATAGGTCAAGAGGGCCCTCAAGAGGCCCTCCACAGTCAACACACATTTATACTTCCGAGGCTTTGGGCCGATTTTGCTGTTCTCGCCTTCCCGAGCTTCCGACACCCCAAGACAGCCCCAGATGCATCCAAGATGGCCACAAGACGGCTCAAGACGCCCCCAAAAAGGCACTCGGACGGCTCAAGAGAGCCCCAAGATGGCCCAAGAGGCTCCCCAAACAGCTCCACGACGGCCCAAGTGGGCCTCACGACGGCCCAAGAAATCCCCAAGACGGCCTTCGAAAACGCCAGGCCCAACAGCCCCCGAAGACGGCCCAAGACGCTCAACAGGCCCATAACCAGGCTCCCAAGCAGCCCCAAAATGTCCCAAAGAGGCCCCACAATGGCTCTCAAGAAGGCCCGAACTCACAGCCTATACATTCTGGACGTGCGTCTCGCGAAGCGAGAGAAACCCACGGACCGGGCAAAATAGTCCCGGAAGCATGGCGCCAATCCTGCCCGATTTGGCGCCGGAGTGCGCCGATTCTGTATGGAACCTGGGCCCGCCGCTAATCCACGCGTCCTGATACATAGTTGCGATTCCCCGAAGGCAGAGGTCCCTGTCGCCCTCTTCCTGCCCCCGGAGGCCCTATCGGGCAAGCCTGGGGCTCCATCTGAGGCCGCCCTGGGTCGACTGTGGGGCCCTCTCTGTGGGCACCCTTAGGCCCTCGAAGACCTCAAATGGACCGCGCGGGCAACCAAAAATAGTGAACATCTGGTAAAGAAGCTTGATCCGCGATCTTCTTCATCTTTCCTCTTCTTCATCTTCTTCTTCTCCTTCTTCTTCTCCTCCTAGTGAGGCTCCCGCCTCCGCCTTCCGCCATCTTCGCGGTGATCTCCGGCTCCACTTCCTCCTCCCCCCCGCTTCCTCCTCCTCCTCCTCCTCCTCCTCCTCCCCTCCTCCTCCTCCTCCTCCTCCTCCTCCTCCTCCTCCTCCTCCTCCTCCTCCTCCTCCTCCTCCTCCCCGCCTCCTCCTCCTCCTCCTCCTCCCTCCCTTCCCCGCTCTCTCCCTCCCTCCCTCGGACCCTCCCTCATTCCCTCCCTCCCCTCCCTCCTCCTCCCTCCCTCCCTTCTGGTGCTGCCGCTGGCTGCGCCCCCCGGGAGCACGCCGAGAGCGCCGCGGCGAGGGAGCGCGGAGAGGGCGAGAGGAGCGGCCGCCGGCGCGCGCGGCCCGCCGAAGACGCGGGCCCGTCAGAAGCCGAAGACGGGGCCTCGGATCGCTCGGCTGGGGGACCAGATGGGATCGGGGCCCTCCCCTCCATGCTCCCGTCCCTGCTCCTCTTCCTCCTGCTGTCCCTTGCCTCCCCCCCCCCCCCCTCTGCCTCTTCCTCCTGCCGTCCCTCGCCTCCCCCCCCTCCCCTCCCTGCTCCTCTTCCTCCTGCCGTCCCTCGCCTCCCCCCCCTCCCCTCCATGCTCCTTTCTGGCATTGATCAGGCATGGAGAGCTGAGCTGGTTGCGTCGTAAACAGAACGCCGTGCGAGGCCTCAAGGAATAAAATAACTACGCCAGCCTGGCGCAGCGGCAAAAAGAGAGGCGTGAATAGATGGAAAGAGAGGGGGAGGGCCGCAAGGGCACAGAGTATTCGCCAGCCAGGCGGTGAAAACCCCTCTTCTTTGCACCCCCTCGCCTGCACATCGATCCCATCTCTGTAATCGAAACCGTACCCTCCCCAGTGTCAGGCTGGCCAAATCGTCTGTCTGGCCTCAGTGGCAATGTCAAACACGCGGTTTTCTGCTGTGAAGGGCTGGCTCAGACGGTACCAGCTGGCTCTAGGCAGTCAAAATACTGTAAACCTATTTCTGTTCAACATGTTGTTCAGAAACTCGGTGAGCATAGCTCTGGCAGTCAACACGCCCACCCCACTATGCCCTCCGAGCAAAGCTGCCCTAGCTGGTTGACTTGTTAAGCATAGCTCCCGGCGGCCATCAGAACATACACTGCAACATCAAAGCGATCGGTCCACAACCCTTTGCAGAAAGACACGGCCTCTCATGCATGTTCATCTCTGGCGCCGCTGCGCTGGAACGTTCACCACAACGTCAATGCGCTCGGTCCACAACGGGCTGCAGAGGAAGCAACCGACCGCTCGCAGCGAGTGTTCCCCCGCTACGCCTCGGGTGCCACGACTGGTGGCAAAAAAAACGGCCTCCCATACGCGCAAATCAACTGAGAGATGCCGACTCGAAATTCTGTCTTGGTGGCCACGTGCCTCACGGGCTTACCACCACGGCGAGGAAAGTGGAGGCGGAGCGGGCCGAGAAACGGGGCTACACTCAACCGCTTTTCGTCTCTGCCGCCGCTGCGTTCGAGCACACACACCGCGAAATCAAGGTGATCGGTCTACTGCAGGCTGCAGAGGAACCACCGAGCGCTCGCAATGAAACTTCTATTCCACCACTACTGTCTCAATCCTACCCTTCCCACCAAGCCTCCACCTCCAACATCCTGAACTAAAGATGCGCCGGCCCCCTCGTGGGGCCACCAGACTGTAGGGTTAGGTTGCTGCTCCCTGCGCCAGTTGCAGCTTCACGTCTCCAATGTTAGTCCTGCTTTCTGCTTCCTACTGTAAACTGTTAAATTCAGCGCGAGGGGGGAGCCCCAAATCAGCAACTTACCACCCTCGGATCGCGTGCTCTGAATTCCCGGGGCGGCGTGGGACATGTAAGAATCCTTGATTTTCGCGCCCCAGTGGCCATAGTCCCTTTAAATTACGCAGTGTTCGCGTATCCAACGCCATAAGCCCTCGCAAATTATACAACTTTTGCGTCCCCGAGGCAACACCCCCCGTACATTACCTAATACTCGCGTCCCCGAAACCATAAACCTTTGCAAATTACGCCATATTCGCATTGCCGAGGCCAAGAATGCTCCAAGGCGCCCGAATATTGTTCCAAGACAGCCCAAGATAGCTCCAAGAGGCCCCAAGAGCGCTCCAAGAGGCCTCCCGAAACCGCCCCAAGAGGTCAACATGGTCGATTCCACGACAGTCTTTTAAACGGATTTGGGCCTTCTCGCATTTTCGGCTTTCCGACGCTCCAGAACTGCTCAAAAAGCTCCCAAGACCGCCTCAAGATAGCCCAAGACGGGTCCAAGAGGGCCCGAAGACGGCCCAAGAGGGCTCCAAGATTGCCCAAGAAGTGCTCCGCTAAGCGCTCCGAGAAGCCCCTAGGAAGCCCCAAGAGGCCGCCAAAAGGCCCCAAGAGGCCCCAAGAGGTGCCCAAGACGCGCCCAGAAAACATCCAGGAGGCCCAAAAGAGGCCCCCGAGAGGCTCCCCACGACACCCCAACACATATACAAGAGACCTCATACCCACAACCCAGGCACGGTAGCGGGATGGGCCGCAAGCCAGTCGGATAACGCCGACGTAAATATGCGCTGATGATTCATATCCACCCCTTGCATGATGTTCCCAGATGCCAAGGCAACGCCGGGACGCACCGACGCGACTCCGATATATCCGTCTGATGGACAGGGGGCCAGCGGCAAGGGGCGAAGCCCTTGCGGATTACCGGCAGTACCGAAACTGTGTGCAGTCGATGTCGCCCCATGGCTGCTGAGTATCGCGTGCACGCAGGAGCTTTGCGTGCACGCAGGAGCTTTGCGTGCCCCCAAGAGGCCAACATCCCCCCATAACATCCACCTGTCGTACTACCCCCCTCAACTAGCAACGCAAAAGTGGCCACACTTCCTAGCAGCACACATTTTCAGAAACAAGCGGCACGGTAAACACCGGATCCTGGAGCAAGAAAACATCCGAGACGACAAACCTTTTCGCAACAAGTACTGTGGAGGGAATGCGCTAAGACGCTGTCGACACGCTCCGACTGGCGGTGGAATCCGAATGGGCCCGCTTGGACGGGAAGTCGATCGGACTTTCGACGTTACGGCAAGCTGCAGAGTCTGGCGTGACCCAACCAAGGCAGACCATGACAGCACCGATCTACTAGGGCTGACCCGTGGCCTCTGGCCGAGAGGCATCACAAAGTAACTGGCCTTTCTGCTCGCCCTGTTCCTCCTTCTCCTCATCCTCTTCCTTCTCGTCCGCCTATTCCTCCTCCTCGCCCCTGCCTCATCTCCCCCTCCCCTACGTCCTCCTCCTCCTCCTCCCTTACTTCACTACATGCTCCTCCACATCCCAGACCAGGGCAACTGGCATGAGCATTGTTTCTGGATGGGATGGCGGGGCTACTCGAAGCGTCTAGAACTGGTTAATCTGTTTGTAGTGCCTGTCACTCGGGCCATCCACAATCGGAACATAAGCCAGCGAAAACGGCAAAGGATGGGCCGACGGGGAAGGCTTTCCTCTTCCAAAAACACCTCTTCCCCTTCGGGGAGGGGTTTACCCCTCCCCTTCCCCCCTCCCCTGGACTTTTTTTGGGGGGGTGGGGTGTGGCAGGTGGTCGGAGGGGCCCTTTTCGGCACCTGGGAGGGCCAATTTTTGACACCACTCACGAGGATCGTGGCCCCCAAGGGGGGGACCTCGATCGACCTGTGATTGCTCATAGTTACTATGCGGGTTGACTGTAAGCGTCCAGACGCCTTCGGGCCACCCGGCTCCCAAGCGGTCAAGGAGGCTGCCTGGAAGGCCCCACGGCAGCCTCAAGAAGGCCTTCCAAAGCCTCTCCGCCCACTCTCCGAGGGCCCGAAGCCCCAAGACGGCCCCAATATGCACCGGAGAGGCGGAAGCGATGGGCGGAATCGATGCTGAATACTGCAGTGCAGAAGGCAGGATTTCCGCCCTGCATGTGCCCTCATTTCTGGCCTTAACATTAATCGGTTTATCCATTTCGGGTATCGTGTGTGACTGCAAACGCGCGGCCCCAGATAACACAGCATTCTGGATGCTCTGAGCTCTGTAGCAACATGCTGTTAGGGTCTTTTCGTACCATTGGGTCATGCGGGCTGCAAGCAGAACGCTTTCGTCGGTTCTCACTGGCCTCGTGTCAGCCATTCGTTCTTCTCCTTGTCATCTTTGCCCCTCAACTGGGCCGACGATTTTCGGCGACACTCCCCTGCACGGAATTTCCACGGACCAGAGCAGTCCGATGGTTCTCCCGAGGCTGGTCTGAAGACGTATGGGGACAAGGAGGTAAGCGTGTGGACAAGTAAGTTTTCCACCCTCGCACGCCTCCCCCCCTCTGGGGGAAGGAACGCCCGCACTGGCCGCGGCCAGCTGAGGGCGAGGCCGCCCTTCCCGAGGCCCTTGCCGCCGACCATCAGGCCGTTCATGCCCCCCGGGGGTCCTCGCTCCTTCGGGGGCTGTGCAAACTTGAGGCCTCCGTGCCATCGAATGCAGCTCTCACTGATCGCGGAGATGCGTTCTGGCACGGCGAGCTCCCGAGCGTTGGCCCGCTGACTTCGACCCCATAGACATGGACGACGAATCGCTGGTTCTCGTTGTGCAGTGGCCCGCCTGATGCACACCTGCGCTCACATGACCAAGCAACATATTTGGACGCCTCTAGTCTCTTTCAACCTGCCCTGAATCTGCGTCGTGTCTTGGAACGTGGAAGGTACAACTAATGCATCATATCGCTTGGGCGCGGTGTTGGACGTACTCAGCGTTCGCTGGCAATTGGTCGGCAGACTCATTTCCAACATCGTCCCTCGCGGTTCGCGAAATTCGCATAGGAGCACTTGGAACTCTGTGTGGGATCGAGCAAGCATGATACCGCGCGAGATAAGCACATAATGCACACGCATCGGTGACGGCCACATTTTCTTATGCCACCCTCCGCCTGAATCTGGCTTCCCCAGCGGCGGGAGCCGGAAGCCCCGTGGGGCGATGAGAAACGGGGCTTGGGGTGGTGCAAAGAGAGCCTTGTTTGCAGTCCCCGACGCACCTGCCGTCGGAGAGCTAGGCAATTTACCGCAGCGCTACGCACACGGTGTTTGAATCCTGCATTGTCGTTCTGGTCATCCTTACCCCCTCCCTCCTCTGACTCCGCACACACACACATTCCTCCGCAGTCGGCTGGAATGTCTCTCCGTCGGGACACTGCCGGAACGCGTGACGAGGAGGTGCAATCCGAGCAACATGTAAACCTATGGAGAATCTCTCGCATATTTGAAACTGCGCGCGCCACACGCATGCCACACTGTATTCAACTATATAAGGCGGAATGAGCAGCTACAAGCATAAAGTATTCTCTCGTGCGACAAAGCCTCCATTTCCCTTCTCCGCCCTCTCCTGGTCCTCCTGCTCCTCCCGCTCCTCCCGCTCCTGCTCCTGCTGTTGCTGCTCCTCCTCCGTTCTTCTCCTCCTCCTCCTCCTGTTCCTCCTCTTCCTCCTGCTCATCCGCGATCTCCTCCTCCTCCTCCTTCAATGTGCAATGCTTCCCCTTTCTGATCGCGCACCACACGATGAAGTCATTTTGGGAACCCAGGTCCGCTGGGACACCCGTCGGCGGACAGAGAAGAACCAGCGTAAATTTCAAGTTCAGTGGCGTTAGGACAGCCGCGTCTGATCAGAGGGCACTCAGGGTACTGAGCAATCATAACTACACTCTGGCACAATATCCATCGCAGGGCGACGGAGAAGGAGAGAGACGAGAAAAAAAAGGCGGGAGCAAGGATAAGAGGTGGAAGAGCGCAGAGGGAAGTGCCGGATGGGAGGGGGTAGGCTGCCACATACGGGGCAAGCGCACTTAACTTGATATGAATATTGCTCCCCTCTCTCCCCGGCCACTGTCCGAGCGGGGTGCCGCCTTTCCCGTCTTGTTTTGCACACGCCTCAATTTTCGTTTGCTTGTTTTTATTTCTATTGTATGTTGCAAATCGAAATTATGGTTCCTACTTCCTAGGTGGGGTATTTGCTTTCCAGGGACACCCCACGCATGAATCACATGAACACTCGCACCATCAGTATCACCACCACCACCATCAACATCATCATCATTTGCATCGTCAGCATCCGCGTCATCATCATCAACATCATCATCAACATTAGCATCACCATTCGCATCATGATCATCAACATGACTACCATCATATCATTATCATCATCACCATCATCATCATCATCATCATCATCATCACCGTCAACGCCAACATCGCCACCACCATCATGATCACCACCACCACTACTATCATCATCACCAACATATTCATCATCATCATCATCATCATCATCATCATCGTTACCATGATGCTTGTCACCAACATCGTCATCGCCATCATCGTAACCATGGCCATCACCATCAACCCCATCATCACCACATCCCTACCATCATCATCATCGTCGTCACCGTCATCATCGTTATCATCGTCATCGTCATGGTCGTCATTGTCGTCGTCGTCGTCATCATCGTCGTCATCATCATCATCATCATCACCATCACCATCGCCATCGCCATCGCCACCGGCATCAAGCACACACTCATACATTGAACTCGCGCACTCGATCATATACTCAGACATTCATAGCCACATACCCATATGGAGGAACTCACGGGCAGGAGCCTTGTCTGTGAGTGTGAGTTGCGAGCCAGTATCGAGCAGGAATCCACTCCAATCTGGGGCCCGCGCTTCATGTTATCAATCCGAGGCGGCCATGCAAGAACCATGTAAGGCACATGGCTTCTCACACCTGACAACCTGAATCTCGAGAAAATATCGAGCGGGAGCCCCCTCCCTAGCCCGCGCGTCGTGTCAGTGATCCGAGGCGGCCATCGGGAAACCTGCAAGAACACTTGGTTTCCCACATCTGGCAGCCTGAATCTCGAGAAGGTCTCGAGCGGGCGGCCCCCCTTTATCCGAGGCGGCCATCGGACAACCTGTGAAAACATAGGTTTACTCACACGAGTCTCGAGGAAATCTCGAGCGGGAGCTCCTTCACTATTGGGCCCGCACTTCATGTGAATAATCCGAGGCGGCCATCGTAAAACATGTGAAACGACAAGGCTCCTCACACCTGGCAACCGGAATCTCGAGAACATCTCGAGCGGGACCCCCCTCCTTACGGAGCCCGCACTTCATACTCGTAATTCGAGGCGCCATTGGAATTCTCGAACGGGAGCGTCGTCCTTGAGTGCATCGTGAGGGAGTCTCCAGCGGGAGCCCCCTCCCTATGTGGCTCATACTCCATGCCAATTGAAACTGATCCGAGGCGGCCATCGGCAAACCGGCAACTTTTGTTACTTTGGTAGTTGGGGCATGAATCTCGAGGAAGCCTCGAGCGGGAGCCTCGTCGGAGGAAGTCTCCAGCGGGAACACCCTCCCTATAGGGTCCACATTTCATGTTAGTAATCCGAGGCGGCCATCTACAAAACTGCACCTGTCATCACTTTTGGGCTCGTGTGGCCTGGAGCTTACGGAACCCTCGGGAGGGAGCCTCGTCTGCGAGTGAATCGTGGGGAAGCCTCGAGTGGGAGCCCTCTCCCGATGGGGCCCGTGCTTCATGTTGCTAAAGCCGAAGAGGTCATTCGATCCCTGTACATCTAATCACTTTTGGGCACTACAAACCTGAATGTTGCAGAAATCTCGAGTCGGAGGGGACTGGAAAAGGCAGGAGCGGGAGGAGGACGAGGAGAAGGGGGAGGGAGGATACGAACGTGGAAGACGGAGGCAGAGGAGGAGGAGGAGGAGGAGGAGGAGGAGGAGGAGGAGGAGGAGGAGGAGCTGTATTCGATTCCTTCTTCGTCGTTGTCGCCCCCTCTTTTCTCCTCCTCCGCCGTCCCCTGCTCCTTCTGCGGCTCCCGCTCTCCTACTCCTCCTGCTGCTTCTTCCTCCTCTCTCCTCCTTCTGCTCCTCCTCCTCCTCCTCCTCTTCCTCCTCTTCCTCCTCCTCCATTCCTTTTCCCTCCAAATCACTTCTCCATGTCGCACCCCGAAGCCAGTTTTGAGGGCGGACCGGGCGTTTCGCTTGAGACTTCCTCACCATCAATGGCCATGAAGCTTAAACAGTGTCAACAGCTTCACATATGAATGGTGGGACGTTTTCAAGATTTAACTCTCGTCTTAGCGCCGCGCACATTCGTTCTAAATAGTTGCTTGAATTTCACGTATGAGGGCACATCGTTTTGAACATGTGGCCCTCGCCTTAGCGCCGCGTGCATTCGTTTTCAAACTTTGCAAGAGTTTCACGGATTGAAGCGGTTCCTTTTCAAAATGTGGCTACTGCCTTGGCGCAGCGGACAATGCTTTAAAGCAGTCGTTTCACTACTCCCCATGATCGGCGTACCAGAAATGGTGTCTGGGAAGGGTTCAGGGTTATGAGGGTGCAACAGGCACGTTCGTTCGCGGTGTTGAAGTCCCAGGAATGACCCTCTGGCACGATTCACAATTTTCAAGACGCAACAATCAAGTTGATCCGTGGCGTTGAAATCACGAGAGCTTCAGGAGCTTCAAACGGTTGTCTTCCAACGAGGCAGTTCCCTCTGTGGAAATGAACCGTTGTAGGGGCCTATGAAGAGGGAGTTCGGTGGGAAGGTTTATTCCAACATCGTTGATGACTCTTGGGTTTACACGGGTCCTCCTCCCTCTCCTCCTCCTCCTTCCATTCCTCCTGCTCATTCGCTACGTCCTCCTCCTCCTTGGTGCTCAACACGTAGACTGGACACGAAGGCCTGGCGCGATGCATTCGCTAACGCGTAGACCAACATGTGCTGAGCCAACATGCGTCGTGTTCAATCCTGACGTTTTGGTCACGGTACGTGTCGCGTTTCAATAAGGGCAGCAAGTTGTCGAACGTCTTGCGGCAACTATGAGCGACACGCCATAACAAGCTTTTTGCAATCGTTCCCCAAACGGTGCTTGCAAAAGGAGGTTGCCCTGTGTGTGGTGGTCTTGCCCATGACCTCCTATGGCTCCTGTGGCCAATGGCCATCTCCACCCTATGACCTCCAATGGTCTGCTGCGGCTATACATCTGGGGTTCCTGGTATGGCTTATGATCTCCTCTCCTATGACCTCCAATGCCTATGGCCACAGGAGCTACAACCTTCTCCCCCCCACGACTCTCACACCCTCCCTTCGTGGCCTCACCTCCGCACCGCCCCGCTGCCCTCGCGGCCCGAAGATTCCTCGCACTCGTCCGGCGTCATCTTGGTGCTCGCGTAGCGGGGCCTCCCCGCGTGCGGGGCGCTCGTGGGGCCCAAGGGGGCCGGAGCGGGATTTGCCATCGCTCGGACGTTCATTCCCAAAGCATTTTTCGGCTTCGTGCGCTTTCCAGCTACATGATCCAGGATGCTCCTCGATGGTCCTCGCCGAGAGAAAAACGCACACGTCCAAGCCATGCCAAGGGGAAGAGGAGAATCGATGCTTGTCAACGCCCAGCCTGCGGTACCCGTACCCACAACGCTCACGCGCGGTCGGCGCTCGCAAAAAATTCCCGGCGGGAGCTTCGAACTCCTGTGCACGCCTGGGGATCCATCACCATCCCCCTCTGTCTCCTCCTCCCCCTCTTCTGTCTCGTCCTCCTCCTCATGATCATCAGGTTCTTCACCTTCTGATGCCATAACAACATGTCAGCTAGCGTGGGCCCCAAACGGTGCTTTCCAGAAGTGCACGTTGTGCAGTCTAGGTGGAACAAACTCTGTGGTGCAACCTATGTGGTACAAACTGTGCTGCGCAGTCGATGGTGTGCAATCTATGTTGTACAAGCTCGGTGGCGCAGTCTATGCGGTGCGCAATCTATGTTGTGCAATCGACATTGTGTAATCTATGTGGTGTTGTCCATGTGCTGCAATATATGTGTGGTGCAATGTCTGCGGTGCAACCGACGTGGTGTAGTCTATGTGCTACAATATGCGTTGCGCAAACTATGTTGTGCAATCTATGTGGAGCAGTCTATGTGGTACAATATCTGTGGTGCAATATATATGTGGTGCAATCTGTGTTGTGAACCCATGTGGTGCAGTCGACGTGGTGCAACTTATGTGGTACAACATTTGTGCAATCTATTTTTTTGCGATCTTTGTGGGGCAGTCCATGTCGTGCAATACATGTGGTGCGATTTACCCTGCCGTATTTGAAGTTGTCAGCTCCACCGCTCGCGCATTCATCCCATCCACCCACCCGCAAGTTGGTTTGCAAAACCCATGCGGGGGAGATTGCGATGACTTCTCGGCGCTGGTTGGCGCATCGCCGCGGCCGCGCTAACGCGCAGGCTCGCGCGCAGAGCGGCCAGCTAGGCTGATGCGACCGACGCGGCCGCGGTGGCGCTGATCGCTGGGGCCTTCCCAAAACGTTTCGCAAGCCGCGCTGACGCGCGGGCACTTCGGTGCGAGTCGGTGACTCGGGCGGGAGCGGTCTCATAGCGACGTCGGCAACGCTTACACGATGATGATAGAAGCGATGCTGGTGGCGATGATGACAATGACGGCGGAAAGCGCAATGACGGCGCCGATGCTGATCAGGTCGATGACGATGCTTGTGTCCTGGCATCGGTGATGAAAACCATGATATAATATTTCGACACGCGCGCGCGGCTGACGCGCGCGAGTGGCGTGCATGGTATACATTGAAAAGGGATCGTGCCCCCCCAGCACGCGCGCAAAAACGTTCGAATAATTTCGACATGCGCGCGCGAAAGGCCCGCTTGGTCGCGTTTGATGGAACTGTTGAAAGTCTATGGCTTTCTTCAGAAATCGCAAGAGCGCGAAGACAAGCTTTTTGGACACTTCCCGGCGCCGAAAATGTTTAACTATGTTTTCGGGACGCTCGATGTTGAAGTCCGTGCGACACCCCCGGTTTTTGAACGATTTCTGCATGCGCGCGTGACGACGCACGCGAGAAAACTTAATCCCGTTTTGGCAAAGGAATCTTTCGACAGCACGCGAGCAAGAATGTTCGAATGACTCCGACATGCGCGCGCGAGAGGCAATCTTGGTAGCAGCTGGTGAAGATGTTGATTACTGAAGCGTTTCTTAAGAATTTGCAAGCGTGCGGGCGCAAGCTTTTTGACAATTCCTGTTACGACACCATAATCTCATCTATATCTATATCTGAATATGTATATGTATATGTATTTGTATATATATATATATATATATATATATTGTCGGGGCACTCGATTTTGAAATCCATCCGACGCCTCTGGTTTTGAGAGATTCCGGCATGCGTGCGCGACGGCGCGAACGCGTGCATCTCGCCCCATTTTTGCAAGGGATTTCTGAACGCGGATGATTTTTGACAAACAAGTGCGCGCGCATAGTATTTTTTGGCATAGGATGAGGGGTGGGGGTCGGCAAGCGACTGCCTGGGGTGGTCTGAACTCATAATTCGGATGGACGAATGTGCAGAATTATATACGACAAGCAATACGAAACAACAAAGTGAGGCGTTAAGACCAGGGGGGTGAAGGGCGGGGTAGCTCCTAATAACATTTCAGAAAGGAGAACCCATGTTGTGCAAGTATTTTGTGTTCGCAATGAACTGGCAACTCCAGTGCTCGCGAAATCGTACCGCGCAACCGCCCGCAACTTGGTTTGCAACACCCATACGTCGGCGACTGCGATGAATGCTTGGTGTTGGCTGGTGCATCTCTGCGGCCGCGCAAGCCCGCGCGTGCTCGCGCGCGCAGCGGCTGGCTAGCTTGGCGCGTTTGACGCGGCCGCGGTGGCGCTGACCGTTGGGTACTTCGCAACGGACGCTTCAGTGCGAATCGGCGACTTGGGCGGGCGCGGTATCATGTCAACGTCGACGACGGTTGACACGATGATGATGATAGTAGCGATGCTGGTGGCGATGGTGACAACGACGACGGCACGGCCAGTGACGGCGCCGGGTCTGATCGCGCCGACGACGACGACGGCGTTCTCGCGTCGGCGATGAATGTTGTGGAAGGAAATCGACGTACGCGCGCGGCCGACGCGCGATCCCCAAACACGCGCGCAAAAGTGTTCGAACGATTTCGACATGCGGCGCGAAAAGCCTGTTTGGCAGAACTCGATGACAATGTTGAAACACATATGGCACCCCCAAGCCTCCGCAAGCGTGCGAGCGCAGTTCTTTTTGGTAAACGGATATTGCAAACACACGTGTTTTCATAGGTTTCGGGGCCCTAGATCTTGAAAGCCTGAAGAAACCTTAAGAGGTTTTTGAAGGATTTCGGCATGCGCGCGCGACGACGCGCACGTGTGCTGTGCATAAGCGATTCTGGAACTTAAAGATTTTGCATAAACGATTGCGCGCGCATCCTCTTTTTTGCAGCGGATGAAAGGAGGGGTGCGTTACCGGTTAGCTGGGGTGATATGACTTCATATTTAAGATGGACGATGGGGCAAAATCGTATGTAAAACGGAATGCGCAAAAGGGGCCCGCTAACTCCGGGGGGGAGACCCTGACAGTTTTTTAGAAAGGAGAAGTCATCAGTGCTCGCAATAAGTTGCCGACTCCACTGCTGGCGCAGACATCCCCACCCACCCACCCACAACTTGGTTTGCAAAACCCATGCGTCGGCGACTGCGATGAATGCTTGGCGTTGGCTGGTGCATGTCTGCGGCCGTGCCAGCCCGCGCGTGCTCGCGCGCGGAAGGACCAGCTGGTGCTGCGCGACCGACGCGGCCGCGGTGGCGCTGACCGCTGGGCACTTCCAGCGGGCACTTGACTGTGGATCGGGGACTTGGGCGGGCGCGGTATCATCGCGACGCCGACAACGGTAGACGCGAGAATGACAGTAGCCATGATGGCGACAGCAAAGCCAATGACGACTCTGATGTTGATCGCGCTCGCCGGTAACGATGACGATGTCCTCACGTCGGTGATGAAGGCTTTGAAAAGAGTTCGACATGCGCGCGCAACCGACGCGCGCGGGTGGCCCGCAAGGTATTCTTTGACACGGATCCTGCCCCCCCACCACGCGCGCAACGGCGTTCGGATGAGTTCGACATGCGGCGCGAAAGGCCCGTTTGGCAGAATTCGATGGTAATGTGGAACAACCTATGATTTTCTTAAGCCTCCGCAAGAGCGCGCGCGCGGGCTTGTTTGATAACTGATGTTGCAAAACCATGTGTTTCTGTATGTTTTCGGGGCGCTCGCTTTTGCAATTATTACGACGCCTAAGGTTCTTGAGCGATTTCGGCACGCGCGCGCGACGACGCGCGCGCGTGCACGGCGTCACATTTTTGCAGAAAAGGGTTTTTGAAAGCTGAAGATTTTGATATAGATTTGTATGAACGATTGTGCGCGCAGTTCATGTCTTGCAGAGGGTGAGGCGGGGGCGTTTCCAGTTTGGCTGGGATGATCTGACTTCTTTTTTAGGGTGGACGATGGGGCACAATTATTTGTACATTGCTCTAAGAAAAAGGGGAGCGGTTAAATCCGGGGGAAGGAGGGGGGGCCCTAATATTCTGTAAGGAAGGAGACTTAATGGTGGAAAACTTTGAACTGTCAAATCCACTGCTTGCGAAATCACCCCACCCAACCGCCCGCAACTCTAGTTTGGAACGCTCATGCGGCGGCGACTGCGCTGAATGCTTTGTGTTGGCTGGTGCATCTCTGCGGCCGCGCTAGCGCGCATGCTCAAGCGTACAGCGGCTACTTTGGCGCGACCGACGCGGCAGCGGTGGCGCTGACCGCGGGGCACTTCCCAGCGGGCACTTTACTGCGAGTCGGTGACTTCGGCGGGCGCGGTGTCATGGTGACGTCGGCGACGGTAGACACGATGACGATCATAGTGACGATGGTAGTGATGATGATGACGACGACGGCAAGGCCAATGACGGCGCCGATGCTGATCATGCCGTTGACGATGATGGTTTCCTCGCGTCGATGACGGATGTTGTGGAAGGAGTTCGACATGCGCGCGCGCGACCGACGTTTGCGAGTGTCCCACATGGTATCATTTGACAGGGACCGTGCCACCCCAGCACCGGCGCAAGGGTGTTCGAATGATTTCGACATGTGCCGCGGGAGGCCCGTTTTGCCGAATTCGATGACAACGTTGAACAGTTTATGGTTCTTTTAAGAAATTGCAAGAGCGCCAGCGCAGATTTTTTTGACAATTGATGCTGCAAACAATGTGTTGTTTACATGCTTTCGGGACACTCGAGTTTGAAATCCTTACGGGGTATACGGTTCTTCGCGAATTTCGACATGCGCGCCCGACGACGTGCGCGTGTGCACTTCGACTAATTTTTGCGAGGGACTTTTGCGGCAACACGGGCGCAAGGGCGTTCTTGCGATTCCGACATGCGCGCGTGAGAGGTCCTTTTGGTTTAATTTCTATAAACATTATGAAACACAGATTTGTTGCTAGAATTCGGAAGCGCGCGGGAGCATTTTTTTGTTTGTTTTGCTTGTTGAGTGGACATTTTTGTTGCGCAGCAATGTGTTTCTTTAACTTGTTTTCCGGAACACTCGATTTGGATATCCTTACGAAACATGGTGGTTTTGAGAGATTTCGGAATGCGCGCGCGACGACGCGCGCATGTGCACTTCGTCCAAGTATTTTGCAAAGGATTTCTGATAACGGATGATTTTTTATAAAACGAGTGTACGCCCATTAGGATAGCTTTTAACAGGAAGAGGCTCGCTCTCGACCCGCAGACCAAAAAAGTGTACGCGCATTCGATAATTAGAAAAGATGAAGGAAGGATTCTCAGTTTGGCCGGAAAAAATCATTTCATCTTTAGGATGGACAAGTGTGCAAAGTCCAATGCGAAGCGGGGGCCCGTTAACTCTGGTGGTGGGGGGGGTCTATCCAATGATTTTTTTGAAAAAAAAATCTACATGGTGCATTTTAGGCGGCCACGGGGCGGCGACGGCCGGCACGGAGCCGCCAGACCGACACACAGGCCTAGTTCTTTAGCCCAGAAGTAAGAGCCCTTAAATGCAGGCAAGCACTGTTAGGGGAAATGCGACAAACCACATACGTAAACATGAACCTTCGGAGATCTGCGCGGATTTCGGATCAGCGCAGGAGCCTCCTCCCTTTCGCGCGGAGCGCGCCAGGGGCGGCGCCAGAGGTGGCTACCCAGAGGCCCGCCGCTGCTGCCGCTCCTCCTCCTCCTCCTCCACATCGTCCTCGTCCTCGTCTTCGTCCTCCTCCTCGTCCTCGTCCTCCTCCAATTCCTCCTCCTTCTGCTCCTCGTCCTCATCCTCGTCCTGCTCCCCTCCCTCGCCTCCTTCTCCTGAGCGCAACATGGGCCCCTCGTTGCCTCTGGATTGCGCTGAACGCCTGGGCAATCACTACTAACACGAGAGGCTAGCAAGATTCCGCTGATATCTACGACGGCCTCGCTAGATCAATCAATCATTCGCTTGGTGACAGCTTCCGCACCGCTGCCAACCCTGGTGTAGCTTCATGGTGGCGCTGCTCCTGCTTCGGATGCCGATCGTCATGTCATGGCGACGGCATCAACGATCTTGATGACAACATACGCTTGTGAACTTGCTGATGCGGGATGACGGTCGAGGGTAGAGCAGAACATGCGAAATCGAGCGGCACAGAAAATTATCCGGGTGAAAGGCCCCACTGTATGCATTTGTGAGTATCGCCATTGTGGGTATCGCCTTCGGTGGATCTCCTTATCGGGCCACGGACCGTGTAAGGGGTGTGTGTGTGTGTGTGGATATCGGGTGGGGCCACCATGCGAGCGCTGCCACTGGGGCCTTAAATGAACCCCCCCTCTGGGGCCACGAAGCGTGTGAGGGGTGTGCCGAAATGGAGCAGGGCCGCCATGCGAACGTCGCCACTCTGGCCTTCGGTGGGGCTCCCCATGGGGCCAAGAAGCGCGTGAAGGGTGTGCTGAAATTGGCGGGGGGTGACGCATGCGAACATCGCCACTGGGGCCTTCGGTGGAGCTCCCTATGGGGCCACGAAACGCGTGAAGGGTGTGCCGAAATGGGCGGGGGGGACGCATGCGAACATCGCCACTGGGGCCTTCGGAGGAGCTCTGTATGCGGCCACGAAACGCATGAGGGATGTGCCGAAACTGGCGAGGGCGGACGCATGCGAACGTCGCCATTGGGGGCTTCAGTGGAACCCCTTAATGAGGACATGAATCGCTGCTGGGTGTGGCGGACGCATGCGAACGTCGCCATTGAGACCTTAGGGGGAACTCCCTACGAGGACATGAGGCGCTGTACTGGGTGGCGCGGACGCATGTGACTACAGCCACTGGGGCCTTCGGTGGAGCTCCCTATGAGGCCACGAAGCGCTGTACTTGGTGGCGCGGACACATGTGATCTCAACCGTTGGGGCGTTCGGTAGAGCTCCCTGTGATGCTGCGCAGCGCTGTACTGGGTGGCATGGGCACATGTGATCACAGCCCCTTGGGCCTCTGGTGGGGCTCCCTATGGGGCCACGGAGCGCTATATTGGGTGAGGCGGGCGCATGTGATCACAGCCGCTGGGACCTTCGATGGAGCTCCCTATGGGGCCATGAAGCGCTGTACTGGGTGGCGCGGGCGCACGTGGTTACAGCCACTGGGGTCTTCGATGGAGTCCCCTATGGCCACGAAGCGCTGTACCGGATGGCACTGACGCATGTGATCACCGCAGTTAGGGCCTTCGATGGACCCCCCTTCTGGGGCCACGCCGCGCTGTACTGGGTGGCGCAGACGCGTGAGATCACAGCCACTGGGGCCTTCGGTGTAGCTCCGTATGGGGCCACGAAGCGGTGTACTCGGTGGCGCGGGCACATGTGATCACAGCCACTGGGGCCTTCGGTGGAGCTCCCTATGAGGCCATGAAGCGATGTATTGGGCGGCGCGGACGCATGTGATCACGGCCATTGGGGCCTTCGGTGGAGCAATCTATGCGGCCACGAAGTGCTGCACTCGGTGGCGCGGACGCATGTGATCACAGTCACTGGGGCCTTCGATGGAGCTCCCTATAGGGCCACGCCGCGCTGTACTGGGTGGCGCGGGCGCATGTGATCACAGTCGCTGGGGCCTTCAGTGGATCTCCGTATTGGGCCACGAAGCGCTGTACTCGGTGGCGCGCACGCATGTGATCACAGCCAGTGGGGCCTTCGGTAGAGCTCCCTTGGGGCCACATAGTGATGTACTGGGTTGGGAGGGGGGGGGAAAGGAGAGATGGCGCGGGACGTTGTCTCTTCAAAGCGATGACCCAACACATCAGGATGGCTGGGAACAAATGTCAAAAAAGCTGCCCAAAGCGGTCGCACCTCTTGTCCGGGTCGAAGCCCATCTGCCGCGGGCGGGCGGAGATGATACGCCGAAATGGGGCCACATCCCAACAACTTGTGCCAATTTGGGCAGACAAACAACACAACTCTCATGACGTCGTCGTGCCCACAACTGCCCCGCTCCACCACCCAACGTCGTTCCCGTGGCACTGAGCTCCGCCCGCATGCAATTGGAACGGGAAGAAGGACGAAGTTGGAGCCGGAACCTATGGCGGCTTGAGGGCCGATGAAACAAAGCGCGCGCACCCATTGAGCGGGTCTGCATTCCTCCATGGCAGTCCATCTAATGTGCCAAGGCTCTCTGTTGATAGTATGTGTGCGCATGCGTCTAAATGTACAGGCATTCTGGTAAGAACGTGGAATACCACATCGATGCAGGCATGTGCATCGGTGCCTTCTCTCGCACACGCAGATGTCTCCGTATGTACAAATGTATACATATCCATACTGGAACCACGCGCGCACACGCTCCGCGTGCTGAGGTTCTAGTCACAGCTGCGCCACGTTTTACGGCTCTCGCTTTTGTTCGTCGGATCGGTGACATTGCGAAGTCCGCTGCATGTGGGCGTTGCAGAGCCTCCATCCGCATCGGCCCCCTCCCCTTCCCCCTCCCTTGTCATCGTTCTTCTCGTCCTCCTTCTCCTCCTCGTCCTCCTCCTCCCCGCAGTCGGCGTTGGAGCTCAAGCAAGAGCACCCGACGCAAGGGCACTTAACACCGTGCCTCGACAAGGTAATCGACAGTCAGCTTTTCTGCCCTGGCCAGGGGAGGAGGAGGAGGGAGCGAGGACTTGTAACAAGCGTCCTTTCGATACCGTACTTCCTCTTCTCATCTCGATTGTTTAATTGATGAGGGATGGAATGCTCATGTGCCGCATTGTGGACTCTTCTTCGTTGGAGGGTTCGATTGTGACCTTGAGCAAGACGACCAACAAAAAACAACGAGAAAAGGTCTGCCGCACGCGCGCACGCAAGTGCCGTATAGCCAGAACTTCAATTTTGGAGAGCCTGATTCCGCCGTCAACAGAAAAAATTATGGAAACAAGAGATGCGACACAACACGAGCAACATGTAGCAGAGGACGGGAGAAACGGCTCAGGCACATAGGATTCTTCCAGCACAGTTGATACATAAAATCTTACATATGAAAGGAGATACAGTTACGCAAACGGTGGACATGAAAACGCGGACATTCAATTGCTAGGTGCAGGGCCCGGGACCCAATCAAGCGAGGACAGCAACAAACCACCCGAGGGACTGGGGGATGGGGGGGGCTAGCACGATTTCAAGCAGGAGAATGAATCATAATTTGTTTTTTACGTACAACGACCTGCGATGGGAATTCTTCTCGAGGCTTGCAACTTTACAGTGAAGCACGACAGAATTCCGACGACATCCCTTCGAGAAATGTGCTCCGCAGGAGGAGCAGAGATTGATGCGGACCAAGCATTGAACCGCTTGGTTCAGAATGGGGCAGCCCAAACACACGAAGGTTTGATTGTTGGCACATTACAATTATTGTCGCGTGCGTGGTAAGCGATACTGACCCTGGCACAACTCGAAACACGCTCGACCGGCCCGGCCCGCAGAACGGAGAGCGCGCTCGAGCAACCGGTCCCGCGCGTGCGTCGCGCGCGCGCGCGCCAGGGCGCCTCGGTAGGGGCCAGGCCGACCGGCTTCGGCTGCACGGGGGGTGGGTGGGAGGCGCGGCAATGGCCCCTCCTGCCCTCCTCGGCCTTCCCCCCCTCCAGGTCTCCGACGAGATGCTTCTTCCGTCCGTGCGCGTCTTCCCTCGACCCTCGGCCCCGTTTTCGGGCCCCGGGTCCATCCGAAACGGGCCCGTGGTGCAAAATGAGGCCAGTGGGGCCACGCACGGTAACAAATCCCCCGCCATTGCTCGGACGTCCATTCCCCGTGTATTTTTCGGTCTCGTGCGTGTTTTTGTTGGTTTGTGGTTTGTTTCAAGAAACTCTCCAAGATGATCCAATCTTATCCTCGATAGTCCTCGCCGCGAAAACTGCACACGCCCGAGCGATGCCAAGCGAATGTCTAGGCGTGCAGCTGCCAAGTTTTGCCTCCGACCCTGGAGGGTCGAAGGGCGGCGGTCTTCGGAAACTGTTGACACGTGCTGGGCCTCCAGGGGCCTCTGGGCACCTCCCGGGGCCAGGGTCCAGAGCGGGAGCAGAGCCTACCACTCCCTTGCCCTGTGCTCTCCCCTCATCCTTCTCCTCCCTGTTTCTCGCCGTCGCTGTCATCGTTGTCGCCTTCAACTTCGTCCTCTTCCTCCTGTGCGCCAGCCGTCGCTAGCCCCCCTGCATGATCTTGCGCCCTCGCTGCTGGCCCTGCATCTGCTGCTGTTGCTGCCGCCGTCGCTGCTACTGCTCCTCCCCATCGCTCCTGCTGCTGCCGCCGCTCTTCCTCCTCCTGCTCCTCGTTCTCCGCCTCGCCTTCGTGCTTCCTCCTCCTCGTCTTCCTCGTTATCTTCCCCCCTTTTCCTCTTCCTTCTTCCGAAATTATCTGACAGCATCTCCGATATCCACAGGTGGGCCACGCGCTTTCGAAACACAAGCGCCGCTACCTCTGCAGCCGACTCCCGCCACCACTCCCTCCCCTCAACTGCCGGCATTCCTCGCGCGCGCTGGTCCACGATGTAGTGCAACAGCTGTAGTCCCTGCAGGCCAGCTCTCGCCAGCACTGTCGCATGTAGCAGCCGTATGTCTCTACAGGTGCGGACTCTGCCACCATTTGACTCGAATCCTCTGGCCCATGAATTCCGTATCCGCCAATGTGTCGATGGCCCACTGGACCTCCTCGCCGGTTAAAGATTTAAAATGTCACGTCCCCATCGATCTGCCCGCCCGCCTGTTTCATGTGATCCTTCAGGTCGCGCCAATCAGCATCGTATTATGTGTTGCTGGCTTAGACTTGTTATCTCCGTCCCTCTGGCCACCACCTTCGACTCCTTCTCGTACGGAATAGACCGAGCCGGCAGCTGATGACGGTATTCGGCTCCCGCTGCACGCTCCACTGCCTGCTGCTTCTGCCTGTCCTTCTCGCACCAGCTGGTTCGAGCTTGTAGCTGATGATGTTTGGATGCTTATGGTATCGGGGTCGTGCTTCTCTGCGCCGCCCCTGTAGCTGATGGCGTCGGGCTCGTGCTTCGCGAGGCCACCCTCGTAGCGAACGACGTTTGGCTCGTGTTTCGCGTCGCCTCCCCCGTAGGTGGCAACATCGGGTTTGTGCTTCGCGACACAACCCTCGTAGCTGATGGCGTCGGGCTCGCGATTCGCTGTGCCACTTTCGTAGCTGATGGTATCGGGCTCGTGCTTCGCAGCGCCACCCTCGTAGCAGACGGCGTCGGGCTCGTGTTGCGCGCCGCCGCCCTCCCTCGTAGCTGATTGCGTCGGGGTCGTACTTCGCGTTGCCACCCTTGTAGCTGCTGGCGCCGGTTTTGCGGTTGTTGGTGGCAACCACTACCTGTCTCCCACTGCTGGCACTGCCTGCCTGAGCTGCCTCTGCCGCCACATCTCGCACAACCGCTGCCGCCCTTCTCGCACAAGCTGACCCGCGTATGTAATTTATTGCGCCTGGTATCCAGCATTCTTGCCAAAACCTGTCGCTCCTGCTCGGTCCTTTTAATCCTTTGCATCGCTGTATGCCGTTCCCTGCTCCTCCTTCTCCTCCTCCCCGCGTTTCCACCGCATACTCTCTTCATATGTTTGCCACCGCTCCTCCATCAGATGCTTGTAGCACTGCCCGCCCACGAGGCAGATAGCGATGCTTTCGTGCAAGTGCTTGATGCCTGGGTGTCGCATGGCGTGTAAAGCGGCCTTGTAGATCTTTTGGGGTGCACTAGGTGCAACTTCAAATCGCCCTGCTTTGAATAGCTTATATGCCGTGTCTAACAGCAGGTCCGTCTGTGGCGTACGGTCCGTGCCTCCACTTTCGTACCTGATGGCGTCTGACTCGTCCTTCTCTGCGCATCCCTTGTAGCTGATGGCGTTAAGCTTGTGCTTCTCGTTGCCACCCTCGGTTTTTATTTTTATTGGGTTTCTTTTCTTTATATATGTACACACACTTTTTGTATGTATGTATGTATGTATGTATGTATGTATGTATGTATGTATGTATGTATGTATGTATGTATGTATGCGTGTATGTATGTATGATTGTATGCGTTTGACTGTTTGTATATATACTGTTATCATATATATATATATAACAAACACCCCTAGTTGAAATGTTCAAATTGTTGTTGATCCGGGTGCTCGGGGTCCCCAGCGGCCACGGGGGGTCCCAGGGGCTCTCGGAGGCACTTCCACGTCAGTGAACTCCACGCGAGTAGCCAACCGCATCGTGCGCCGTCTCACGAAGGCAGAGGGGCGGTCAGACCAGGCAGCAGAAAAGGATGCGGTGTCGGCGAAGAGGAGACTTTCAGCCGTGCCTCAACATTTTGCGCAGGGGTTCCAGCTATCCCCAGTCTCCGAGCGTTCAGAGCATACAAAAGGGCATCACAACATGCAGCGCGCAACAGTATGACACCGGGAGGGGTGGGGAAGAGGAGAATCAGAAGTGAAAAACAGTATGGGCGCCCCGAGGGCCCACTGGAACAAATTGTTCTGAAACCAATCCAATCAGCAACCAATTTCTCCAACTAGAGACATTTACAGTAGTGGAGTATGTCATCCAAACCAGCCACTGTATCCTGAGAACACCCCACAAACAACCTCTGGGTTCATAATGAAATCTGGGCGAGGTGTTAATGGAGTTTGTGAGGAGGCGGAGGGGGGCAACGGTCAAGTACATCGAGGTGTGCTTCGCCATGTCCTGCAAATTCGAGCAGAAAGTGCCAATGTGAATTGGGGAAACCTGATCACACGAACGACGGGCATGCATAATTATAGTCCCTTTTGCATCCTCGAAAGTGTCATGCTTGCGGGCAGACGATATATTTTGGCATGGAGAGCTCTCCCCTGGAACTCGAGGTTCGGCGGGAGGGAGCGATTGTCAACCGAGAGAACTACGGATATTCGAAATGAAAGAAGCATTATTCCAACCCCGATGCCAACGATACGGCGTCTGCTCCAAGTCCTCACGTATTTCCTGGAGTTCTGCAAGGGATTGTTCTACAACGTGGGGGCGGAGTGCAAAGTGGGTGCAAGCGGCTTTCGCGGACGCATGGATGTCGAGGAATTCAACGCCTGGGCCAGTCGCGTGCAACTGAGTGGCAAGCTCGTGCGAGATGGCGTTCCTTGGGCCGGCCGTGAGAAGCATCACTCCTTCCATGAAGCACTGTATCAGTTTACCACTGGCGGGGTACATCTGAAGCCGAAACTGTAGAAGTGAGACGCACATGACGCGAAAAGAGACCGCAGATAGCGCCAGACTGAATCCAAGAGCACGGGTCAACCGAATCCTGTTACGAAATTTGGGGACCTCCGGATCCCAAACGTGAAAGTAGCCATCAGGACCACTCGGAATACCAGGATACACCGCCCAAGACACCGCGAGGAGCTTGTCCGCGGGGTCCCCATTGCCCTCCACAGCTTTTTTCAGGATGATCAAATCCAAGTCCCCGCAGCTTGCGATCTCACACTTGGCGAGATTCAGTTTCAAGTTCGCAACGTCATCGAACATCTGGGGACCTGAGAGAATAGGTCCTAAGTCCTGGAGGGTGCTCGCGCGCCCGAAGATGAGGTCACCCGCGCAGGCAAGATGCGCGCAGAAGTGGGGGGGAAGGCGTGGCGGAGCCACCCGAGGAGAGGATCGGTTGCCAATGCGTACAGCCGCGCAGAGGCAGGACGTCCCTGTTCCACTCCAGACTGCAGCTCGACGGTTCCAGAAAGCTGGCCAGCTACATAAGTCCTGCTGGTATTGTCACAAAACGTCGTGCGAAAGAACTGGACTATGTGCTCTGGTTGCCTCATGCACTCGAGCACGCGCAGAAACCGCTCCGATGCAAGCGATGGGAAGGCAGCAGAGAAGTCGGCGAGGAACGGGGGCGCAAATGGTACACTTTTGATGTGCTGGCAAAGTCCCCGGGCTCCAGCACGCACGATGTGAGCTGTCATATCCCTTCCTCGCAGGCAGGCTTGGTCGTTGTCAACTAGGTGACTGAGATTCTCCGTCATCGTAATCGTGACAACGTCCGCAATCAACTTAATGTCGGTGTCGCTCATGCTGAGGGGGCGAGTGCAGAAGGGGCGGCGGAAAACTTCAATTCCATCTGCTGGGTCCTTGGGGTCCGCGCCCTCCGGGAGAAAGACCAGCTGGCGGAGCATTCGGGAACGAGGAGATCTGATCAATGAAGAGGGTCGAATATACATCATATAGAATCTTAACAGCCTCCGCGTTTTTCCACGTGGAGTACGGGATTCCATCGGGGCCAAGCATGCCGTTGGGCCTCTCGAGGACGGCTTCGTACGAGAGCCCGTGTGGTAGCTTCCAACCCATCGCGAGGGCTCGATCTGGGCCCAAAGGTCCGTGCGAACAACGGGTTTCTCGGAAACGTCACTCCAGTGTTCCTGCGGGGCCTCGGCTGAGGCTTGGATAGTCTCGATGGGGCTGCCGTCGTCATCATTGACGTCCATAAGGAAGGTCCGCCGTCGAAAACACCGCCAGAGCTCCGTCCGCCGAGCCTTGCGAGCAAAAAGAAAACGTTTCTGCTCCTCCTCCACTCCCAGCTTCTTAGCGTCTCCTTACTCCTCCTCCTCCTCCTCCTCCTCCAGAATCTTGTTGAACCGCGCCTCGACATGCTGGCGCGGGCCATCGAAGCCGCGGCGCGCTTCCCTGTCTTCGCTGAAATGTGCCCTGAGCCTCGGGTAACGTCGCGCCGCGTGGTCCAGCCGACGTCGCTGGCCAAGGCGAACAGAGCGGAGTGCGGCAAGAGCATGATCGTGCCGTTCCTGCAGGGTTTTAGCCTCGCGGAAATTGATTGCGACGCGGGCTTCCGCCATCGCCTCGACGAAACAATCTTTGGCATGCTCCAGCTTGTTCCAGGGCCCCCGCGCCGTGGGTATCTGCCGGGGGGGGGAATCCAAGGCCGTGTTGAACTTAGGGGGGGCAGTGATCCATGGGGCAATCATCTGCGAGTCAGAAGAGGGCTTGTATGGGGCCATGGTGGCAGCGACGGGGATGTGGCCACTGCGCACGGACGACTTAACAGTTCCCGAATTGCAAGCCCTAGCCGTGATGCCCCGAAAAAGGCCGGGGGGAAGAGAGGTGTAGACCCGATCGATCAGAGAAAGAGACGACACTGCATTTTGGCGTTTCCCACGTCGGGTGTCCTGGCCCTGGGGGGTTTCCGCCGGCGTCGGGAAGAACTTGTCAATCGTTCTCGAGTGGGAAGCGCCCCCAGGAGTAAACTCCCGATTGTCGCAACAGGGGCGCCCTTCGCCCTCTAACGTGAGATTGAAATCTCCGAGCAGAAGACAGCGTGCGTGCGCCCCATCTCCACCTGGCAGGCGAAATCGCATATCCTGTCTAAGCGAAACACCCATGGAACTCGGCGCGGGGTCGCTGGTGTTCGGATAGTGGGCGTTCTAGGTCGCGAAGCTCCCCCGAGGACCATGCAAAATGCCGTTATGGATGCGCCCGAGGATAATCTCCTCATGCCATATTTCAATGAAAACAACTGGCGATCCGAACATAAATAACTATTAATGACTCCACCTTCGCGGTTAGTCGAGGAAAGAGATGCCGAACTGGTGCGCGCGGAGCTCCCGCTCCAGCTCGTGGATGTCGCCGACATGGCCGTGTCTCTTGTGTGCAAACGGTGTCGTGCTGCTTGGCAATGTGCATTTGTCTGTATTGACGTGATGTAGCCACCTTGCTCGTGGCACATGCGGATGTCATCGGATCCTGGCAGTTCCAAGTGCAGAGAGAGAGAGAGAGAGAGAGAGAGAGAGAGAGAGAGAGAGAGAGAGAGAGAGAGAGAGAGAGAGAGAGAGAGAAGAGAGAGAGAGAGAGAGAGAGAGAGAGAGAGAGAGAAAAACAAACATAGTGATATATATATAGAGAGAGAGAGAGAGAGAGAGAGAGAGAGAGAGAGAGAGAGAGAGAGAGAGAGAGAGAGAGAGAGAGAGAGAGAGAGAGAGAGGGGTGTAGGGGAAACAGCGATCCAATACTCTCGTATTCAGCCCATCAGCGCAGTCCGCTTCAATGTCTAAAGGGGCGCAGCAACTGCGCTTATGATGCTGACTCTATAGATGCTGCGTGCTGTGGGATGCCGAACTCCAGCAGGGCATCGCGATCGAGGTTGCAGTTGACAAAGTTGACAACCCCTTGGTCACCAAATGTCGCGGCTGAGACCTACGCAGGGTCGTGCGGGCCACGCAAAACGTAAGCGCTGCCAGCTAAGCCTGAGGAACCCACCTCCAGTCCGTTCTCGCGGACCAGGTCGGTGACGCGGTTTCGCGCTTTCCCTGGAGACGAGAAAATGGCGGCTGATGAGATTCATATCACGGCGTAGCCGAAATATTGACAAACAGAAGGGTTCAATGGGTCGGGGTACTCCCATGTCCTGTTGCGGGCCAGAAAGTTATCCGTGCAAGTACCTGCTGCTCGAAGTGGAGGGTGATCCTCTTGCTCGCATCAAACGCGCGAATCACAATTGTGTTGCAGTCCGAACTTGGCGCGAAAGTGGCGCGGCAAGTCTCTCCAATGATGCGTAAATCTTTGGCCGGCATTTTCCTCGGGAGCCCTAGAACGACAAGTTTGCATGTCGGATCTTGCATCTGACCTGTTTTGCGTGAGCCAGCAGGAGGAGAGGGCGAGGCGAGCGAGTCAAAAGGGTAGGCATCGACGCCATATTTCCGAGCTGCTTCCCCGAGATGCCTTGGCGGGTGTTGAGTTCTGCGAGCGTGGCCTCTAACATGTTAAACTTGGACTGCGTGCTGGCCGAAATGGTATATGTCTCCACGGGGGCACCACCTGGCGAAATCAAACCATTTTGAAGGTCATCCCGTAGCTTCTGAATCTTCTGATCCATATCGCGAACCGATGTCGATATAAATCCTTGAAGCTCTTGATGCTTTGTCTGAACCTCGCGTCCCAGCCGTGTCATCTGATCTGACAGGTGAGAGCAAAGCTCCATCGTTAAGTTACAAGCACCCTGAATCGCTTGAACATCTTGTGCTTGGTTCGCAAGGTTCTGGCCAAGCATCTCCATGCCGCCAATGAGCTGGTCGAGCTTGTGAGTCGTACCCTCGCGTTCCTTGGACATGCTGCGGGAAGCGGAGAAAGAGCGGCTGCGAGACGGGGTAGAGTCACGTGGGTGTCGGTGGCCTGACCGTGGCTCATGATCTTCAAAAAAACGGGAACAATGCTTGCGAACCATGGCAGTGGATGGGGACGGGAGCGGGACCGGAATGGCCTCCTGCGGCCAAGTGTAAACTGAGAGTGCTGGATGCCGAAAAGTGGTACCGCCTCTGGTGTGGCGGGCTGCGAGGACGGGCCACGCGCTGACCTGGCCAGCTGCCTCGACAAATGTATTATTTGAGCCAAAACGGCTACGGATTGCAACTCTCGTGTGTCGTGTTGCCACCTCTGCCTGCTGACGGTGGTGCCACTGCTGGCCTTTTCCGCACCCCACCTGCCGGCCCTTCTCACACCTGTGCCGGCCTTTTTCGCAAATTTGTCGGCACTTTTCGCGCCAGGGGGCCAGCCCCAACATTGTAGCTGATGATGTTGGGCTCGTGCTTCGCGGCCCCACGGTCGTAGCTGGTGGCATGGGGCTCGTATTTCGTGATGCCACCCTATAGCTGATGGCATCGAACTCGTGCTTCTTCGTGCCACACACGCCACTACCACAACCTGTCACTGTCGCCCTTTCTCGCACTTTGCCCCGGCTGCCACCGCCGCCCTGCTCGCCAGATGCCTGAGCTGCCACTCCCGCCCCTTGTCGCACAGCCACTGTTGCCCCATCTCGCCTGCAAGGCACAGGCAATGCAGGCAGCCACTGCCTGCCACTGCCACCGTCATCCACCTTGCTCCCCTCCTGGCGGGGGTGGTCGTGGGGCGGGCCTGGCTTGGCTTCACCTCCTTCGGCCATTGCCCCTCAAATCTAAAAGCGCCACTGCGGCCTGTAGCTGATGCCGTATATTGCTGCCGCTGCCCGTGAGCTTGCTGCTACTGCGGTGGTCGCTTCTCGTGCGCTGCGGTTCTGGCATGTGTCCTTGTACTTGTCCAGCGTTTAAATCTGTCTGCAGAGCTTGTCCTTGTTATGCCACTGCTGCCGCTGCTGGTCATAATGAGTCCACTGCTGCCGATGTTGTACTTTTTCAAGCGGCCATTCTTGATGGCTCCACCATTTCCTCCATTCCTGCAACTCCGACTTGTCTGTGCACTGTTTCTGTTCCTGTAGTCTGACTTCTGTGGCCCGTTAGGCCGCCGTCTGCTTGGCCTTGCGGGCGACGCAGGCCTCCCGGGCCCAGACACTGATGTTTGTATCACTGCTCGGCTGCGTGCGCAAAACGTCTGGCGGCCAGCGGGCCAGGGCCACCACCACCCCCGGAGGTGACTCTCGCGCGGGCGGGCGCGGCGCCGGGGGCGCGTGCGGGGGCAGCGGCCTCCCATGCCTCCTCCTCCTCCTCCTCCTGCTCTCACTCATGCTGCTGCTGCTGCTGCTGCTGCTGCTGCTGCTGCTGCTGCTCCTCCCTCAACTCTCCCGAATCCTCTTCTCACCTTTTCCTGCTCCCTCTGTTCGTCCTCCTCCCCATCCTCACCCTTGTCTCTGCTCCTGCTGCTGCTGCTGCTCCTCCTCCTTCTCCTCCTCCTCTCAGGTTCCCTTCCATACTCCTGCTCCTTCTGCTGCCCTTCGTCTTCCTCCTATCCTCCTCCTCCTCCTCCTCCTCCTCCTCGTCCTGCTGCTGTTGCTGCTGCTGCTCCTCCTCCGCCTCCTCATCCTTCCCCTCCTCCCTCCTCTCACCTCCTCCTCCTTCTTCTGCTCCCCCTCCTTCTCCAACATATCCTGCTCCTACTGCTGGTGCTACTGCTGCCGCAGCTGCTCCTTCCCCTCATCCTCCATTTCCTTCTCCATCTCCTCTTTTCTTCCTTCTCCTTATTTTCCTCCCCTTCTTCATCCTCTCTGCTGCTGCTGTATTTCCTGCTCCTACTCATGCTCCCGTCCATGGTCCTGCTCCTGCTCCTGCTCCTTCTGCTGCTGCTCTTCCTTATCCCCCTTCCCCACCTAGCTTGCCCTCCCCCCCTCCCCAAGTCCCTGTCCCCCTGCCCCATCTGCTCCCTCCTGATTTCCCTGACTTCTTTTTCCTAGTCGTCGTAGTTCTATTTCTCCTCTGCTCCTCCCTCCCAGTCCTCATCCTGCTCCTCCTTCTCGGTCTCCTGCTCGTCTCCTCCTCCCGCTCCTCCTTCTCCCCTGCCGCTGCTTCCCCACCGAAACCGCAACATCCAAGCCGCCTCGGGAGTCTTTTGCTTCTGCAAGGGCCGCAAGCTTACATGGGGGTATGCAGAATAGAGCGACGCGAAGGCAAGCAACGCAACAATCATTACGGACACGAGGGCAACTTAACGGGCTATCCCTGAAGTTCCCGAAAAGAGCCTGCCAACCCATTCAGAACACAAACGTTGCAACTTCGAAAATTCACAGAACACTCTTTAGCAAAACGACCTCTAGTAAAAGCTGCTAGTGGCACTCCAAGTGCGTACGGCACCACATTCCGAGTGGACCACAGCGGGGTAGCTAATCGACGTCGAACAACAAAACCAATGTATTTGGCGAGACGCACGGCGATTAGAGAAACCGTCTGGGGACTGCCCTGGTACACTCGAATGCCAATGTCGAGTGAACCGGTGCAGATTTCCTGTCGACTTGTCTGGGGGGTCGCCATCTCAATGCCCGAAACCTGCCCATGTGGACACCGACGACACCATACGTGGGTGACCAACTTCGCACTGCCTCCTCCTGCTCCTGCCCACATTTTCATGGCGGTCCGGGACATAGTTCTTGCCCTTGGTGGACAGCACCTTCTCCTGGGCGGCACGCTTGACGCTGTAGCAAAGCATAAATATGCAAGACGAAGTAAAATAGGAACCTCGGTACGTAATTCCCAATGACTGTTTAGCAAGCAGAGCTACATGCGCAAGTGCGCACGATCGCCCACATCCTGTGCTCTGTTTTCCTTCTGCAAGATTCAGCTTGCCTGCGAGGGCCTTATCTCGTTTATGAGATGAGGGGGGACGATGCGGGGCACCGGCTCATGGGGGGAACATCGACCTGGAATCGGCGATACATCTCCGATAGATCGGAGATATGCCCCCGATAGAGACTCCGCATGTTCCTGGGCGGGGTGGACTATCACGCGCCTGTCGGCGATGAATGGGGGATGGGGGTTCGATGCGTTACCCCCTGAGCCTATCCCCACTAACGATGCCCGTCTGCATTCGGGTCATACCTCGGCTCTCTGGCAGCCGTTCAGGACGATCGGGGCATTCCTGGAACGCTCTCGGCGCGGCGCAGCTACTGGAAAACACCCCGAGGCTGTAAATCCACTGAGGACGGTCAAGAACGTCAGAAAATGTCCGACTGTTATGCAGACTCGGGGCCTCCTTCTGTCCGACTGTGTGCAACGTGCTGGTTTCTGACACCGCGTGGATCTTTCACTCTCAGGATCGCAGAATGTCCACAACCCAGATCGGTCGACACTAACAGACTGGGCCACTGGCGGCGTTCAATCTGGACCGCCCGCGCTGGCGTCGCCGCCGCGTCGACATAACACGAACAGAGCGTACACGGGTCTGACCTGTTTTGTGAGACCTGTGCGGTGCCATCCATCGAGCTCGTTTTCCTCTTCACTTTGGGCGCCAATGCTTCGCGCACGTGCTGTGGTATGCTCTGCCGTATCGTGCCGTGCCATACTCGGCTCTGCAATGCAATTCCGTCTGGTGCTCTGCTCCGTGCGCCCTCAGATCATCGGCGTCGTGCAGGTGCACGGCAGAGCAGGAGCTGTGACCTCCATGCAGTCATCGTGCTGCCACATGGGACGTTCAAGACGGAGCGAAGGGGCTTCTCTCGCTATGGCGAGCCTGTGCCATGAACAAGTTCCCCCAGCCCCTCCTCAGCCCAAACCGGTCCTTGTTTCAGCGTCTTGTTGACTGCATACCACACGCCTGAGGCCTGTGAGTAATGGAAGCGACCCTGGGCTGCGGTGCCAGAGCCACGAGGGAGGGAGAGGGGCGGCCCTGAACCCCCACTTCTGCGCATCGCTAGCTCCAGCGGAGCGGCACAACGAACAGGCCGCCATGACGGTTCACCAGCTCAAGCGGTACCCAGCGTTCCCGACCAAATCCTTCGCCTCGATTTGCCTCACGCGGAGTGCCCCTGAAGGTCTCTGCAAACCATCGTAGACATTCCAAAAACTCCCACGGCCTCGAAAACCTAAGGACAGATGAGAACGCAGAAGGCGCACGTTCCTTCCGTATCCCGCCACACTTCATTCACCACGACCAATGTATGCCACCGCTTGCCAATTTTTCAGGACTCATGGTACGTCCGACAACACTTTCAACTCACATGAAGTCAACTTTGCCTTAATTGCACACGCGTTCCTTATCCCGCACAAGTTCGAGCACCTGCCAACAGTTCGAACACCGTCCAAGCACTTTGAACAACTGCCCCTCTCCAGAGACACCGTGGGCATCCGCGTGGCCACACGGACAGGAGCTTTTGTTCAACGCGTCTTGGCGGTGGCCCTAGCGACACGCAATGCTCTCCGAGCTGATAGCGTGTCGCTCCGCTCCGCGGGAGGCTGGGACGAGCTCAGGACGTTGACGCTCGGCGACTGGGGACGTAGTCAGCGTGCCGCGCCGAAGCGTGGTGGACCAGGACCTGCGGCGTGACAGGCGAAATAATTTTTGACCGTAGCCCTCTCCGACGACGCTGTGTGCCTCCGCGCGGGCACACGGCGTGGCATTGCGCAACTTTTGCGCCGGCGCGGAGCACGAGGCCTCTGCGCCTCTACGCCCACGGGCCATGGGACGGCGCAGCCACCTTGGGCCGGCCGAGTTGGCCACACAGCAACAATAGCAGCAGCATAATCAGGGCGCAGCAAAGGGGCGGGGGGAGGAGAAGGAGGAGGAGGATGAGGAGGGGGAGGAGGAGGACTAGGACCAGGAGGAGGAGGAGGCTAAGTTCGCACATCGCTCCCCGCGGTGCGCGACGCGCGATGATCCTCGGGTGCCTCCGCGGGTGGCCTGGCGCCGCCACTTTGGAGGGAGTGGCAACCGCTCTGCTCCAGACCACGACGCGCGAGGCGTGCGATGATCTCTGCGCCTCCGCGGGTGGCCTGGGGGCTCTGGCCTTCCAGAGGGCCATCTTTCAGCTGCGGAGTGGCACACACAGGACAAGCCGAGCAGGATGTCTTTGGCTGTGCCTCTGTGGGGTGCCTGGGTGCGGGCCCGAACCAGCGGAGCGCAACCGGCGGCGCGCCAGGGCAAGGGGCTTACACCGATTGGTCGAGGCTGGCACCGGGCAGCGCAGTCGGTGACGCGCCAGGGCAACTCTTCAAAGCTCGGACGAGGACCCCTCGGTGCAAGCACTGGCGTAGGTGGTCTAACGATATCTTTCTGATGCTCCAGGATGGCCTCCAAGATGCCTCAAGATACCGCAAGATCGTTCGAGATGGGCTCCAACATGCCTCCAAGAGGCCCAAACAGGGCCACAAGACGGTTACAGGTGCTTTTTGGCGACCCCTCATAACATCCCCGAGAAGCCAAAACCCTGCCAAAACCTACGGAAAATCAGTGATACTTGCCTTCTGGCCTTTTCGCTTCCGATGCGCTTTTGAGGCCTCAAGATGGCCCTAAAATGGCCCAAGAGGCCACCAAGAAAGGCCCAAGAGGCCCCCAAGGCTGCCCCCAAAGCGCCCAATATCGCCACAAGAGGGCCCCAAAAGCGCCCCTAAAAGGCTATGTCGATGGCACCGGAGGGGGGAGGCATCTCGAGAACCCCCCTCTCCTTTGATCGATGGTCTCCAAGATGGCCCCAGGAGGCGCTGCATAGCTCCCAAGAGGGCCCCCAGAGAGCCCCAACAGAGCCTCAATAGGGCCCTATGAGGGCCTCAAGTCGCCCCCAAAGAGCCCCGAGAGGACACCAAGACTCCCCAAAGAGCCCCAAGAGGGCCCCAAGATGCCCCAAAAGAGCTCCAAGAGAACCCCAGGCCATGTGTGAAACGTTGGACACCATCCTATATAAAAAACAATATCCCCCACTACAGCCCCGTAGCCCCAATAAGGCCTCCGATGCTCCAAGATAGCCTCCAAGATGGCTCGACACCCTCCTTCCTGTCCTCTGCTTGCACGCTCTGTTTCACTATATGTGTCTCTTCGTCCCTTGTCCCGTCAGCTCTCATGGGCAGGGCTTCTGAATAGGCTGGTGGGAACTCTTTTTTTTGTCGGTCGCGTCCGCGAGCGAAAGCGCAGGCGGAGACAGAAGCTGTCCGGGGCACGGAAACAAATCTAATTAGCTGCAGGGCGCGAGACGGCCAGGCCGGGCCAACTCACAAGGCGGCTGCTGAGCCGCAGGGTGAGGGCTGACTGGCAAAGGGCACCCAGGGAAGCTCAGGCATCGTGCAGCCCTGAGCAAAATGCCAGGGAATTCGGTATACGCCCTGCGGCGTGGACCACTCTGTGAAGGCGAGAACGTAAGCGAGCTGATCCCCACACCCCTCTCACGCCTGGTGGTCGCGAAGGCGAGGTGAACGATGAACGAGTCGCCAGCGGGGCGCCACGTCCAGGCCCGTACCAACGGCGTATACCAGCTAGGTGGGCTGCTCCCGGGGCCCACCATCCCGAGCACGTGAGGGGGCTGGCCCTGTGGAGAACCCTGTGGGCCGCCGCTCGTCCTAGTGCGGGCGGGCCGGGGGAGGTCCCTCTGCCTCCGCGGGCACGGTGATCCTGCGAGGGTCGTCGAGGTGCACCCTGGCGGCCTCGCCGACGAGCCCCGCGGCGTCCCGCGGCCGGATGCCCCCCTTCGTGACCGCCAGCAGCTCAGGGCGGTAAGGCGCCACCGCCAGCGAGGTGTCGCTCTCGTGCAGATCTCGTCTTAAGGATCTCAGAAAAGGGCCCCGTCTGGGCACGGATCAGATTGGCGAGGCCGTGGACTAGCGGCTTCTGCGGCGATCCTGAGCCTCCTCCACGCCTGCCGCTGCGGTTCAGAGAGCGGCTGGCGTGGAGTCGCGTGTTGGAGCGGCCCTGGCGAGGGCACGCCCCTGGCCCGAGCCCCTGCCGAGGCGTTGAGCGCTGAAGCCGCTTGAACTTGCAGACGCCGTAGTCCAGGATCGGGAAGCAGCAGGCCCTCGGCGCACGACGGCGCCGCGCTGCACGAATTGGCAAGCTCTGGCAGAGCCAAAGTAAAGAGAGAACGTGGACGAGGTGCCACCGTCCCAGCCTGGCGAGGCGGCGGCACGCGCGATCGTGGGTCAAGCCACGGATCACGACTTCGGCCCGTCCTTGCCGCGCCTGTCCGTCCCTTACGCGAACAGCCGCTGCTGCTTCAATGTGAACGCTTCCGTCTTCTGCTCCTCCGCAATGAACTTCGCGAAGTCGCCGGTAGTCGCCGCCGTCCCTGAATCGAGAGTGGATGCAATCATCATCTCGAGGCCTCTGAAATCCGGGCTCTTCGGCGACCGTTTCGTAGCCCGCTCGATGCACATCGCCCTCCGCGCCAGCATCTCCATCCCCGCGAGGCGGTAGACCTCCAGCTGATCGAAGCACAGTGTGTGGTGGAAGATGCTGAGGAGCGAGGCACGGTGGTGCGACACTGCCGAGTTCGCACCTACGCCGGACGTGCGCACCCGGTAGTCGTGGTAGGTCCCGACCGTCTCGCCTGCGGAGCGAATCATCGTCATCAACTCCACCGCAGCGCTCGGCCCCCTGAAAGGCCAGTCGGTGTCCGAGGCACTGGCTGAGCCAGCCCTGGCGCCGCCCGTCCCGGAGCGCTTCTGGAGCGCAGCCATGGCGTCGCGGAGCTCGATGTACCTGTGCTCCTGGCCGTCCCTGACGATTGGCACCACGCGCGGGTCCCTCCCCGCCCCAGATCTTTTCTCCTCCTTCCAGTCGTCCAAATCCGCTGGGCCCACCCTCTCCAGAGCTGTCCAGCGGTCGTCGATGAGGCCGAGAGCCGTCGACCCCCGCGGCACGAAACGGGCTGGGTTCCTCGTCGCCGCGGCGTCGACCTGCTCTCCGAACTGGTCCGCGCCCGTGTCCGAGACCACCCAGACCGCCACGCCTCGAGCAGGAACCGTGGTGATCCCCCCGATAAGCACCGCCAGCGACTCCCCCTGCTGCTGGAGCGCCTGCAACTGGTCCTCCGAGAGGTCGCCGAACATGTAGATGCTGTTCCGCACGCGCGCCGGCACCTCGCAGCCCCGTGGAAGAGGAACTACTCGGTGGTTGGCCAGGTCCAGCACCTCCACGTTGTAGTCGGGCGTCGACACAACCCACTTCGTGCCATCCCCGACCCGATTCAGGAACAAGCGATGGTGCCAGCGGTAGTGAGCGTCGTCGGGGAAGTCGATCGCCACCTGCGGGTTCCCGACGTCCAGAGCGATCTCCCTTGCCCGTGCCATCACTTACGAATCGAACGGGGTCGCCAGACCTCGGCCTCGTCGGGCGTGTGGGCCCCTGATGGGCTCGAAGGGCTGGAGGGCCCACCGCCGCCAAGAGCAAGCAGGCCAGGCACGCGAGGCGAGCTCCCCGCCGCAAGCGCTGGCCCCAGCGCCGCGCCGGCGCTGGCCGGGAGGCCGAGGCTCGCGCCGCGAAGCCGCCGTGGCCCCACCAGGAGCACGCGCGGGCCGCCCACTAGAGCAGCGCCGCGCCCGCAAGGGATACCCTGGCCATCGCTCGGACGTCCATTCCTTGTTTTTTTCGGTTTCGTGCGTGCTTTTTTCGCCAAGTGATCAAGGATGCTCCTCGATGGCCTTCGCCGAGAAAGAATGCACACGTCCGAGCGATGCCAGGTATCCCGCTGAGCACCCACAGCCCGAGCCCGGTGCCTGGCGCCGCGGGGCAGGCTGGGCAAGCTGGCAAATTCACCTCCGGGCAATGAGGTGCCTCCAGGCAGATCGCCTGAGGGCAGACCGCTGCCGGGCAGGCAGGCTGCGGGCAGTGGTCCAGCTCGTGCGCGACCACGCATGGCGCTGGCTCCGGCGCAGGGTGGCGGCCGCTGAAGCCACCCAGGAGCGATCCAGCAAACCCGGCAATCGCAGCGAAGGCGGGGTTGGGGACGCGCATCACACTCGGCTCACCCCTGAGCCAAAAACTAGAGATGGGGCCGGCTACGATCGTGACAACAATAACATGGCACACCATCAATATGTGTCAGGTGGTCATATGCAGTCAATCTTTGCCCATAACCACTACGATACCAAGAAGAGGCGGAAGAGGAGGAACGCTCAGTGATGCTCGGCCCAGTCTGGGGTTCGTTTTGGTCTGGGTCTCGTTGTCTCCAATCGAGGGGATACCATCTGTCCTTCTACACCGGTCCTGGCTGGGCCAACGCATCCTGATCCTCGTCCTCGGGCTTTCCGGTCATAACTTGGGTCTCCAGCGGCCGTTCGGGACGATCCGGGTCCCCCCAGAAAGCTCTCGGCGAGGCGCAGCCGCTGGACAGCATCCAGAGGCAGGAAAATCGCCAAGAGCCGACGAAAGTGCCCGAAAACCTCGGATCTCGAAACTTCGTTGCCCCGCTCAACCTACCCCCTCCAAGATCGCTGGATGGCGCCCATCGAATAGTGCGTGCATGGCGACGCCACAGGGCAGCCGGCGGGCAATCGGGAGCGCGCGCGCGCGGCGCTCAATTACAGCGCTACCTGGGCGCACTCGCGGCTTCAGCGGCCACCCTCCTCCTCCCTTTTCCTCCTCCTCCTCCTCCTCACTTTTCCTCCTCCTCCTCCTCCTCTTCCTCCTCCTTTTCTTCCTCCTCGTCGTCCTCCTCCTCCTCCTCCTCGTCGTCGTCCTCCTCCTTTTCCTCCTCCTCGTCCTCCTCCTCCTCCCCCTCCTCCCCCTCCTCCTCCTCCTCCTCCTCCTCCCCGTCCTCCTCCTCCTCCTTCTCCTCCTCCTCCTCCTCCTCCTCCTCCCTCCTTCCCTCCCTCCCTCCCTCCCTCCCTCCCTCTTTCCTTCTCCTCCCCCTCTCCCTCCCTCCCTCCCTCTTTCCCTCCCTTCCTCCCTCCCCTCCCCTCTGTCTTCCCTCCTCCCTCCTCCCCCGTCCTTTGTCGAATACTCGGGAGACCGCGTTTCTGACAGTACAACTGTCGTCAAGCTTTACCATGACACTTTATAACATCAGCCGTTTGAAACACCGCTACGCAGGAGTGAAGAGAGGTGCCCTTCGGCATGAGAGCCAAGATCGTGTGTACCAGATGCATCACCCATGCTCATAGGTCACACGAAGTCTTCGATTGCCTCCAAAGTCCCCCAAAAAAGGTTCGGTATAGGTGTAGCCTCACGGCGGACACTTTAGCCAACCAAACTCCTCTTCCACCTCAATTTGCGGAACACGAGATTGTGTATGTTAAGAAATTCATGGAACAATTCGATTTCGCGGCCCGTGTCATGGCCAAAGTGTTGTGTTTTCTTCTCTGGAAAATTTGAACGCTGCTTCCACGGACCGAGGTTTGAGTTCCTTTGGTCTGGCTGGTGGTACTAAGGAGGAGGTCTGGGGCAAGGCCGCGCTACCTGCTTAAGGTGCCTTCAATTTTTGGGTGTGGACCCCGTCCATGCTAGCTTGTAAACGAGGGCCCAGTAGCTTGGAAAATGGTTCTGGATTTCACCAAGGGCCACACGCTGGCCAGCACGACTGTCTCTCGGGGAGCGAAGGAGCAACTCATCGTTTATCTGAAAGACTTGTGGGGTTACGCGGCGCATCGTTGTTCCAAACTCGGGCAAGTGTGTCATGATCGCAAGCTCCCTGGGATTAAGGCCACCTGGCCGAAGATCACGTCAGGTCTGCGCCCGGACTGCAGGGAAGATCATGTGCGCAGTCTTCTCGTCGCGGATCCAATTACGTGTGCTATGCTGCTTGCGACCGCCTTTCCTCCGCATGAAGCTGCAAGGCCTCCGTCCGCTTGCTCCCCTCGCAGTCCTGTTTCTTTCTTGTTGTTTTCCTTCTCATCCTCCTCATTCAAATCACCACCGCCACCACCATCACGACCACCACCATCACCATCACCATCACCATCACCATCACAGTCGCCATCATCATCAGACTCATAACCATCACCACCATCATCGTCTTGACCATCATGATTCTCAACTTCATTATCGTCATCCTCATCCTCATCACCATCCATACCAACACCATCACCACCACCAATGTCATCACCAGCGTCACCATGTGCAGCATCACCGTCACCACTTCCACCAGTACCATCATCATTGTCATCGCCATCGCCATCGTCATCAGCATCACCATCAACATTCTAATCTTCATCCTCATCACCATCGTAACCACCACCACCAACAACATCACCATTTTCATTGCCATCGCCATCGTCACCATCAGCACCATCACAATCAACATCGTCACCATCATCACCACCATCATCCTCATTACCGTCGCCCTTTAACATTAGCATTGCCATCACCATCGCGCATCCTCACCATCCTCATGATCATCAACCTCATCCCCCATCCTCCCTCTTCTCTCCGCATTCCTCTTCCTTTCGCTCTTATTTTCCTCCTTCCCGTCGTCCTCCACCGATTCCCCGCGTAGACCCAGCGTGCCACCGCGTTCCAGGATATGAATGCACCCAGTGAGCTGCAGCGGCGCCAAGCACTGCAATATTGCCAACCCGTGGCGATCCAACCCCCACGTGGCCACGAGTAGTACATTCAAGACGGTTGTTTAACGAGGGCGAAGAGGACAACTATGTGAACGCATAGCATGTAGTGCGTAACGACACCGCTATACCAACCATCGTGGCGCACTGGCCAACGCGCGCGCGAGCCAACGTGCAATGAGCGAAAGTAAGCGCGGAACCGTGCGTTGTCTCACATCACCTGTGGCCCACACGGCCAACCGTAGTGTTCTAGCACGCGTGTGTATAGTCAGCGGGGGCTGGAAGGGCCATGCGGCCGCGAGAGGAAGCGGGGCAGGCTGGCGGGAATGTTGTCCAACGGGTGTCGCTGGTGCAATTCTGGCGGCCGCCCCTGGGGCGCGGGGCGGGTTGGGTGCTGGCGCCGCCGTCGCCTCGCATGACCTTACCTTCGCCCCCCCGTTGGCCCGAGGAGGGGCCTTTAAGGAATGGGGGGGGGGGGGTCGTCAGGGGGAAGGGGGGGGGGGATTGAAGGGGCCGGATCGGGGGCGTTAGGAGAGATGGAAAGGGGCGGGGTCAACGGCGAGGGGGGGGGGGGGGGGGCTGGGGCAACAGGCGCATTCTTTGCAGCCGTATTGTGCCAGGGAGGATGCTGAAGGGGCGCGGGCCGAGAAACCTACGCCTCCCGCGTGGTAGAACAGCGTGGAACGAGGATGCTGATGACGAGGGTGCTGATGATGATGGTGATGGTGATGGTACTGATGCTGATGATGATGATGATGATGATGATGATGATGGTGATGATGATGATGATGATGATGGCGATGAGAAGGGTGAGGGCGACGATGATGGCGACGGTGGTGATGATGATGATGCTGGGGGGGGGGAGGAAGGGGGTGGGGAAGAAGAAAGGGATGGCTGCTCTCGGGGCGGCTCTAGGGGGCGGCGGGTCGCGCGTCGGCCCCCGGCGCCCCTGGCCGATCCGGCAGTCTCGGGCGCGGCGCGCGGCCTATCCGCGCGATCTTGCCGGCGTCGAAGATGTCGTCCCCGCCGATGATCTCAACGGTGAGTCTGCCCCTTCCGCGCCTGCAGCTCTCGGTGGGGGGGCGCCGCGCTGGCGAAACTTCCTCCCCCCTCCTGGCGGCTCCCCCCATATCGCGCTGGTTCTTGTCCGCGTCCTTCTTGCCCCTGCAGGAGTCGAGTACGTCGTCCTCGCCGATGGCGATCAGGTCTGCGCTTTCGCTACTGCGGCCCTCGGTGTGGGGCGCGGCGCTGGCGGCTCTTCCCCCTTCTTCCTGGCGGCCCCTCCCTTGCCGCGCCCGCGGTCCTGGTGCCCCGCAAGCTCGTCGTCCTGGACCTTGTCGTCGTCCCTCTCTTGCCTCTGCGCATTGGAGCCAGCGCGCTTGGGCGCTTTCGCCGCGGGCGGTCCGGTCGGCGCGCGCGCGACCCGCGTGGGGCGGAAAGTCCAAGCGCATGCCGACTAGTATCGCTGGCAGCACGTTTGACGGGTTCTTCGGCCGAGGCGCCGCCTCCAACTGTGATGGCACGGGCGCCTCGCGCCCTAACTCGGTAGCGCGCGCGGAGCCCCGATGGGCGGGGGGGGCGAGGGGGGGTGCTCGTGGAAGAGAAGTGGATTCGGAAGATGACCAGGCCGTAGTGGAGCGAGGAGAGATGAAGCAGCGAGGGGGCGAAATAATATGAGGAGGCGGAGAAAAACGGGCAGGGGGTGAAACGCGAAAAACGTTTGCCATCGCGCTCTCGACGCCGATCTATACTACCCGCCCCCTCGATCTTTACTCCATGGTTGTCGCCCCGCCCGTGGCGCACCCCCGCTCCCGCTCTGCCTCCTCCGCCACCGCCCGCGGCCTTCTCGGCCCCCGCCGCGTCGTCGCCACCTCCTCCCGTCACGTCGATCTCCAACGCCGGCCTGCGCCTCCCTCCTCTGCCTCTGTAGCCACTTGCCTCGGGGTGCTGTTGTCCTCTGGGCGGGGGGCGGACGCCGCTGGCGCGCGGATTGCCCCCGAGATTTTGCCCTCAGTGGGCTGGGCTGCTTTCTCAGTGAGACCCTGGAGGAGGAGCGGCTCCCGCTGTCGGTTCTGCTGCGACCGCCATGCCGCAATGTCGTCAGAATAGGTGGGAAGGGCCGTCCTGCGTGCGCGGTGTGCGGCGCGCGTCGAAACTGGGCGTGGGGTGCGAAGCTGGAGAAGCTGACGGGCTACTGTCAGTGTGGGGAGCTCCTGGGGTGCAGGGGCAACCAGGCTGGGCCGCCGCGGCGCCTCACCCGGGCCCGGCGCCTCTTCGGCCGCTCGGAGCTGGCGCCTCCGACCGATCCCAAGGAAACCGTGGGCGCATTGGAAGGTGCTCGTGGCGCAGCCCCCGCAAGCCGCAGCGGTCGCTCGCGTCGAGGAGCTGGTGGGGCCGGCTAGGTCGAAGCCTGCGCCGGAAGCCCCTCTCCCGAGCGAGCGGCTGCAGCGTGCTGCGGTCGCCGCCCGCGAGGCGAAGCAGGAGCTGTTGCGCGCCTGTGAGGAGGCCGCCCAGGCGCGGGTTTAGTTGGCGAGGCTGGGCCGGAAGGTCGAGGGGCGCGTGCTGGCTGTCGACGCGGCGCAGACTGAGGAGGTCGATGCATTGGAGGCGGTGACAGCCTCGGTTCAGCGCCCGGCACCCGCGGTCGACAACGGCCTCTCTCTTCCGCAGGACATCGACTTCTTGATCGACCCCTCGCTGTAGGCCGATCTCCATGAGTGCCCCGAGGAGTGCCGCCAGCAGTTGGAAGCCCGCCGCGTGGCAGGCGTGGGCTAAAGTAATCGGCAGGCGGAGGCCCTCGCCACCCTGGAGAGGGACAAGAAGTTAGGCCGCCACGGAGGCCGCCGCCTCCAAGGAGGGCCAGCAGACGGTGCTGGCGGCCGAGGAGGTTGAGGAGGCGAAGCTGCGCAGCACGCCCCAGGAGCTCGAGCAGGCGGGGGCTCGCCGCGCCGAGGAACATCGTGCCGGGGGCAGAAGTCTTGGCATTCGTTCTGGCTCTCGAGTCGACCTCGGGCGCTTGGCCTTTCGTGGCGGCCCACGGGCAGCTGT